GTCCCACTTACCATGCTCACCATGGGTATCTTTTTAACGGTGAGAGATACGAGGTCGGTTAAATGACACCAAATGTGGAGTTGGTCAAGGCCAACTATAATGTGAAAAAATATTTTGATAAAATCTATTCGTTTTTGTTTTATACGCAAAAAACAGATTTTGATCATTTTCATGTCTCCTCCGTAACTTCTTTATTTATGAAAATATTCAAATAGGAATTTCACATTCGCATGGCAGTTTTTCAAAGTGATTTCGAAAAAAATATGAAATTTATACCAACTCTTCTAGGATTTGAGATATCAGCACCAACTTTAGTTTTTCAAATGTAGGTCATAGCTCACTATCACTTAGTTACAAATAACTTTTTTTCTCTAACAGATGATATATCGCAGTAATAGTTTTGTGTTCATAACAACGGAGTTATCGTCATTTATACAAGAACAAAAATTATTTGGAAGCCGCCATCTTAAATTTATAAATTTTAACAAAAAAATCATGACCTCCGACCTCAAAAACGCCCACTTACCAATTTTGAATGGAATCGGACCAAATCATGGCAGTTTTTCAAAGTGATTTTGAAAAAAATCTGAAATTTATACCAACTCTTCTAGGATTTGAGATATCAGCACCAACTTTAGTTTTTCAAATGTAGGTCATAGCTCACTATCACTTAGTTACAAATAACTTTTTTTTCTCTAACAGATGATATATCGCAGTAATAGTTTTGTGTTGATAACAACGGAGTTATCGTCATTTATACAAAAACAAAAAATTATTTGGAAGCCGCCATCTTAAATTTATAAATTTTAACAAAAAAATCAAGATCTCCGACCTCAAAAACCTCCACTTACCAATTTCGAATGGAATCGGACCAAATCTTGTCCGCCATCTTGTAGGAGCCATTTTTTAAAATTTCAACAAAAATTCCATAATGTATTGTCACCGAAATTATGAACACCTGCCAAATTTCAAGTTAATCGGGGTTATGGAATTTTTGTTTTGGTTTTGAATGTCGGCAGATTCAAGTCTACTCTAAACTCAAATAATATAAATATGATATATCACTCCACGGCCAGTCTAATATAATAGATTTCTTCAGCTCCGTCGTCACCCCATTTTTCACTCGTTCCACGAAGTCGGTATTCGCATGAAGATATTTCACTAATTTTCTTATTTCATATCATCATCTAGCTAATTTATCATTGATATTATTGGTAATCTCAGAAACCTACTATTTATGCTATAGATCCATATGTAGAAATATTTACTTTTTTTTATTTATCTTTGTGAAAGGTTGAATGAAAGAACAGCCTCCTGCATTCTTCGAATGTGTGTGTGTGTGACTGAGTTCCGCCATTTTGTATACCTTGGTATAAATAGAGACATTATTATTATCATTATTATTATTATCATTATTATTATTATTATGTATCCAACATCACAGGTAGAGATTACCCATGTCTTTCTAAAGGAAGCTTGCCATATATTATGGGTGACGTGAGCAAATAAATCTCTAGTTGATCTTCGTTGACGAAAGCCATAATTGTCTATCATAAATGATTCCTGAGCTTTCCAGATATTGATGAGATGTTGATGGTTTTCTCTATCACTATGGAGATGACTGGCAAATGGCCTCTAATTGAGGTTAGTTGTTGGGCAGGCTTATTTTCACCAAAAATTTTCATTCCGAAAAACAATTCTTTTCAACAACAACATTATCATTGTTATTGTAGTAACCTATAATAAGTGTAGTGAGAAAATAATTGGAGAAAACTGGTTCAGTGAAAATGTACAACCGGTTAATCTTGAGGATTCTAGAAGATGATCGAGTTTTGTCACTTGACGCTGATAGTTTATAATTATGTATCGGTAAAACAAATATAGATAAATTCAATATTATTTGTTTTGGGACTGATGCGATCGTATTGATTAGAATTGTAAGTATTATCGTATATTATTTGATTCATTTTGTATGGAGTTGAAAGTAAACACTTCATGTGGCCTATTATTGAAATAGGTATTATCATTAAGTATTTTCTGATTCTGATGAAAGATTATTTTTCAAGTTGGTTTTGCTAAATTCAAATTAGGAAGATTTTCTCTGGTATACCTTGCACGAAAATATTATGATTCAATATTTCAGAATCTCGTAATGAACCGATAATCAATAAATTCACTGTTTCGAACTTGTGACGTATCTACCCTAGTTACCTATATACGGATATTCCAAAATCATATTCATCTTTTATTTCAAGTCTTCGGACTTCAAATAATAAAGATTTTTCTCCGACTATGTTATATTTCTGTCTTCATTATATGATATTTCGCATACTCCTATATTATCCTGTATAACAAATAATGACTAATGCAAAAATATTTGTTTCTTCTTTATTCGACACTCGACCACAAGGGTTATCGGTTTTCAGAGATATACAACTGTGATAGACACATTGAAATTGTCTTTATGAGAAATATTTTACTATGATTTATTCAATTGCTTTCATCTAACTGAGCCTAACTAAATCATACGTACCTCCACGAAAAACCAATATAAGTAGGAAGTAGGAACAATAAATTCAGCTGTCACCTGGTAGCTTCTATATAGGCCACTGCGGCAATTTTCTCGTTCCTGAGACATCAGGTTTTTGCTTATGGTGGTACAAATAATCTGGAGAAACCCTCCCATACAGGGATTCTGTTTGGGGTGTCCACCACGGTCAAATTAATCGCAATTTTTGATAACTACTAAATAATACTTGAAATCATCTCCACGACATTTCAATATGATCAATCGATTAAATCAATTGGTACATGTTTCGGACACATATATGTCCATCCTCAACCTAATCAAAAATTGCTACATGATTTTGTCCGAGAATGAATGTGAATAAGTGCTAAGAAAACGATTTCAACGACATCAAAAATAAAGTGTTGAGTGTGTTTCATCAATAGTTATTTATTATACAAGGGAAAAAAGTATAAGATTTTAGCTCGAGGTTGAGTTTTCCATAAAATCATTTTTAGGAAAGATAATGGAGTGAATCCAAAAAAGAAATGTTGAACACAGATAAGGTTAAACTGTGATTTCAATTCCAACTCGATAGTGTAACTTTTACACTCTGCAGGGTATTACTAATCAATCATCTTCTGGCTGAAAGCATCAATGTTGAACATTTTATTGAAGACGAAGCTTCAAAATGTATTGGAATAGTCAAATCTCGTTAAATTAACCAGGCGCTTAGCCGATTCGCATACGTCTATAGGTCCTGTCACCGGCTACACCACAGCCTCCTGGGCACCCATTCCGTAGTTCTTATTCCCTTCACCAGTCTGTACAGGTTCATCACCGGTTGGCTGTTGTATTCTTCGGAAGTCAGCCTAGATTGCCCGAATATTTCTTGTCTTTTGCGATCCAATGCCTCGTATTCTATTGTTTGGCCATTTCTGCCCCTTTACCGCATTGTCTGCAGAGAAGTTCCCCATTGTACATTCCCATTTTATTCAGGTGTCCTCTCGTTGGACTGTGACCAGTGAGAAGTCCCGTTATTGTTCTGACTTGGTTCCTACTCATCTCGAGTAGTTCTTCAGGTTTATCTTCAATGAATACTTTCCCGTGGTGGAAGAGAGGGGCTTCCGTCCATCGCTCCTTATGTTTTCGCTTGATCCAGTCCCGTATGTAGCCTCGGGTAGCTGTTTTTGTAACCCCGAGTACGGGTTCTGGGCCATTGTATGGAGTTCTTTTCAGTTCATCAGCTTTTTCGTTCCCTACGATGCCACAATGTCCTGGAACCCATAACACGGTCATTTTATTATGTTCTGACAGGACATTTCATTCTCAATTTTTTTTCTTTGAATGTATTTTCAGGTCAACTTTGAGACTTTTTTTTACTAAAAAAAGGTTCTTATGCGAATACAGTGTCACACCAATGTTCAGAAGGAAGTAATCTGTCATTTAAAACAAAAAACGTCCAAATCGAGCTCATGAAATACCTGGAACATTCAGGTATTATATTAATGATAGGCAATATGGCTTCGGTCATCAGAGATAAACTGGTGACCTGCTTGCTTACTTCTCACCTATATGGCAGCAATCTATCGAAAAATATGGTGAAACCTTAGCCGTGGCACTTGATATATCCAAGGCATTCGATAGAGTCTGGCACCACGGACTCCTCGCCAAGCTTCCATCTTATGGCTTGCCTCCCCAGCTATGTTCTCTGCTAGTTAGTTTTCTCCCAAACAGGTCTCTACATGTAGTAGTCGACTGAGTTTCATCTGACTCTCTTATCATAAATACTGGTGTTTCGCAAGGATCAATTCTAGCACCAACACAATTTCTACTCCAT